CCCAGTCGCCGGACACCACCATCCAGAGGACCGTCCGACCGGCTCGGCAGCCCGGTCCGAGCGCGGCTGAGTCACTGCGCAGCCCCCGCCCGCGCCCCGGCCCGCCCTGCTGCAGTTTGCCCACTTGACGGATGGAAACTGAGGCTCGCAGCAGCTGATTGCCCGGGCCGGGGAATAAGATGGGGTTGCACCTGGGGGGCACCTGAGCGGAGAAACCCCCAGGATGAAGCCTGGGAACGGTCAAGGGGCAGCTGTGGGTGGCAGAAGAGCGCTGCCTGCGGAGCTAGGGCCTGGCCTTAACTGCTGTGTGACCTCGAGCCAGTGGCTTTCCCTCCCTGGCCTGGCCTTTTTTTTTTTAAACAGGGTCTGGCTGTGTAGTTCATGCTGGCCTTTAACTCATTATGTAGCCCATGCCAGCAATCCTCCTGCCTCAGCCTCCTTCCTGAGTGCTGGGATAACAGGTCCGCCTAGCCTTCCTTTTATTGGGCTGAGAATGTATCTTGGTCTGCTGGCCTTGTCTTCCACCCTGAGCAGGGTGCTTTACCTCTCTGTTTTGGGCCAGTCTTGCTCCCTTCTTGGAAAATCAGACTTAATCCCTGTCCCCTGAGAGCATGGTGAAACAATGAAATACCAAAGTTAAGAAAATCCCGTGGAAACCCCCTAGAGTGTGGGTGGACAAAGTGTAGGCCCAGCAGGGTGCACAGCAGGAGCTGAGCTGAGTGCATTTAATGTGCCAGGATGGACAGCGCTGCCCCTGGTCCCTCCTCGGCATCCCTGGCAGAGGTACTGCTCCTCCCTTTGGGTTCAGAGGGCACCTACTGCCGAAGCCCACCCAGCCGGAAGTGTCACAGTAAGCAAGAACCTGGATTCCCAGCCGGGTCTCAGTGCCCAAGTGCTCACTTCAAAATGCCCACACGGCAGCTGCCTCCCGGACTCCCCGGTCTTTGGAACCCACTCCTGGGAGGCACCGCCTGCCTTCCCAGACTGCGCCCCATCTCTGGGTCGGTGGCTGTGAAGGCAGGGCTGGCCTGACGTGCCCGGGTTCTCAGCCCTGGGTACACAGGTGCCCAGTGAGTGTGGGCCTTGCTGCACACCCGCAGTGACTCCTGCCATGTGCCTGTGTAGCAAATGACTCCCATGCCTGGAGCAGCGCACAGAGCTTCTGGAGTTTGGAAAAGACCTACACACCCCCCAGGTGACGTCCACAGTGCCGCAGGCCAGTCTGGTCACCTCAGCAGCTAGGCTTCCCTGCCGTCCGCTGTCCGGAGGGAACAGTGTGCAGTGGTGCAGGTGGAAGGAGAGTCAGGCTGGCGCCTCCCCGCTGCCATTTTAAGGCTGGTGTCCATGGGGACACCACCGAGCAGTGCTTCTCCCGACTGTAAATGCTCAGACACTTGTAATTACGGCGCAGCAGCTGCATGTCCAGGTCTTTATCCTACACAGCGAAGAGTGCAGAGGCCAGGTTTATGGACGGTAGAGCTGATCCCAACAGCGATCAACAGCACCAGAGCAACAGCCAAGGTGGCGTGGGTCTGCAGGAGGGCAAGGGGAGGACTGTGCTTTTCATTTCACTCCTGGCTGTATCCTTGGAGTCTTGCAAGGAGTCACGTCTTGCCTCTGGTAAACAGGGGGAGAGGCCCCCCCCACCGCCTTCCCCCCCCCACCATCAGCTACCTGAGGGCTCAGCCACCTTCTAGGGGCTTTGTGGAGCTTGCAAGGGCCACTGTGAAGCTGACGTCAGGCTCAGGCCCGCACGTGGTTTCTCACCAGTGCGCCTCAGGTATCCTCTTGACTCGGGCCTGGGGCCTCCTAGAATTGGGCTGGTGGCTGGACCTCTTAGTGCCTTGGCTTCTAGAGTTGGAGTCACTCTTTTTGTCCCTGGAACAGCACTGAGAGTTTAAGATAATCACCCCCTATCACAGATGAGAACACTGAGGGCCAGAAAGGGAAAGGAGTTTTCCACAGTCGCACAGTATTCATCAGAGCTGGAGCTAAGGCTTGACCTAGGCCTGCCCAAGGGGAAAGGCAGCCCTGAGTTCCGAGCGCATGGGGAAGGGAGGTGGAAAGGGCCACGCCCTCCCTCTACATGGTGCCGGTTCTCTGGGGCCTCTGAGGCGGAAGGACGGTCCCACCTGCCTCTCTCTAGCCCATTATTTCCTGGCCGTCTGCCAACCTGAAGTTATCGCCGCTTCTTGTCCTTATTACGGCGGGTGGCCGAGGTTCATCAGTCCCAGGCATCCCGCACCTGCTCCACCTCTGTGCTGTGGCTGGAGAAATTCTTCTAGGAAGAATTCCAGGCCAGAGGTCTAGTTCCTTTCCTCCCCAAGGCACTGTGACATTCGGGCAGCTCCCTGGCGTTCTCCAGGCCTCAGTTTCCCTGTCTAGCAGATGGGGATAATTACCTTCCAGGCTTGCTGGCTTTCTCAGGTGTTCATGGCTTTGAGAGACATGAACGTGGGTTCAAACCTCACTGGAGAAATACAAGAGTAATTCCCTCCCTCTCCTCCTGGAATGTGTAATGACCAGGTGTGGCCCAGGTGCGCAGGCCAGGGCACAGCCTTCCCAGGGCACAGCCTCCCCTACCTCCCCGTGCTCTCCCCAGGCTTCCAGCCACTGTGCAAGGCCTCCTCACTTTTAAAAGGCCCCACATCCTCACAGTGACGGGCGCTCTTCCACGTAAAGGTAGCTGTCACGTACCCATACCTGGTCATCTCCTTCCATGCGCACATGGAGCATAAGCTAAAACCAACTGGCTGTGCTTCTCTGAGAGAAGAGGAGTGGTAACGTGCCTTAGCTATAGCCCCAAGCCTTCATTTTAATTTTTTTTAAGCTAACACAAATTGCTTACAATCACAACTTTTGGATGGCACCGATAGAGATTTATTGCATTTCCTTTTATATTTACAAAAACAAGCTCACTGTAGAAACCTTGGTGGGAAATACGGGAAAGCATAAAGAAGAAATCAGAACTACCCATCATCCCGTGTCCTCCCAAGAAAGCCAGCACTGGGGTGTGGTGCGAGCGTGTGCTTCCTAGGTGCGGCCTCCTTTCTCTTCCTGCTCTGAGACTTCTGCCACCTGGCTCAATTCTGCTGCCCTCCTTACCACCCTCATCTTCACTGTCCCTGTCACCTTCATCCATCCGGGACTTGCATTTTTATCCTAACATCCGGCTTCTCTGTGCACCCTTCCTGAGCCTGTCAGCGGCCTTTCCCGCGACTCCTGCCAGCCGCTCGGGGCCCTGTCCCGAGATCCCCGAGCCCCAGCTTCTGTCTGCCTCCTGTCCCTGCTCCTGGCCTGGGCACCTCCGCAGTGCCCAAGGCAGGCGGGCTGAGGCCCCCTCACTTGTCTCAGTGCGATGGGATGTGCAGGGCTCTGGGACCTGGGTCAGGATGTGGCTGCAGTGTGGAGAGCTGAGACACGTGGCTGGAATGCACGTTAACGTCGAAAAGCCCAGTGCCAGCCCCCACCCCCCCCTCGTTGCTCCTCCAGCTCCACAGTCTGGGAAGCCCCAGCCACCCCTCCTCCCTTCCGCGGCGCTTCTCCCTTGGCCTGCGAAGCAGACACACGAGCTCTGTCTCCTGAACAGCACAGCCTTCGCATCTCCAGCCACTGCTTTTTCACCTCCTCTGGCTCCAAATCCCCGAAGTGAGTGTATTTGTCTTCGCCTTCGCAGTCCCAGGCCTCCTCGGTCCACAGCAGGCGGCGGGAAGCCCTGGCCCTGCGCGCTCGGCCTCTGAAGCTTCTGACTGCGCTGGCCGCAGTGGCAGGCGGGTCTCTGTCCGGCCATCACCAGCCACCCCGCCACCCGCCATCCCTGCGGCCCGGTCGGTGCCCTGCGGGCTTGTCACCAGCTCGGCCTTGGAGTATTCTTAATTTGTGTCATTTCTGCTTCCTTCCTTGCGCCACACTCAAACACCCCATTCCTGCCCTCCCTGGGGCCACACGCTCCTCAAGCAGGGCCGGCTGATGGAGTCGTCTTTCCCCGCCCATCCGCTGTGCCTCAGCTGGGAGCGGAAAGCCTGGGAGCCGCTCTCCGCTCTTGTCTCTCTCTTGCCACGAAGCCAGCGCCCAAGCCCCGACGTGGGGTCGGATCGGCACCGCGGTGTCTGTGGGACAAGGGCCTCCTCCCGGGTCCTGCTGTCGCGCTCGGTCAGGCGCCGCGGTGCGGACTCCAGTCGTTCTCCACACCACTGAGGAATCGGTCTAAAGTAGAAATCGGATCATGTCACGCCGTTCTCCCGCTTAAAGAACTTTAGGGAAGACTGAGATAAATGGAGCGACAGCCAAGCTTCGAGGATTGGAAGACAATATTGTTAGGGTGGCAGTCTCCTCAAACTGATCTACAGATTCAAGATAGTGCCTATCAAATCCAAGCATGCTCCCTCTCTCTCTCTCTCTCTCTCTCTCTCTCTCTATATATATATATATATATATATATATATATATTATATGTAGTATATAATATAATATATATACTTTTTTAAAAACAGAGATTAATAAACTGAGTTGGACATCGTGGTACATGCCTGTAATCCCTGCTACTCACCAGGCAGAGACATGAGGCTCATGAACTGGAGGCTAATCTGGACTCCTTAGCAAGACCCTGTCTCAAAAATAAAATGAAAAGGGCTGGGGGTATAGCCTAGTGGTAAAGCAGTTGAGCTCTGGATTCCTGACACTGGGAGAGAAAGAAAGAAAGAAAGAAAGAAAGAAAGAAAGAAAGAAAGAAAGAAAGAAAGAAGAAAGAAAGAAGAAAAAGAAAGAAAGAAAGAAAGAAAGAAAGGAGAAGAAAGAAAGAGGAAGAAAGTGAGAAATTGATAATTCCCCCCCCCCCCACAGGACAGGTCATAGAGTCTTTACTGGATGGGCAAAGGGACAAGAGAAATTGATAAATTGATTCTAAAATTCATATGAACCTGGGCATGGTGGCACACGCCTATAATCCCAGCGCTCAACAGGCTGAGGTAGGAGAATCCCTGAGTTCGAGGACAGCCTGGGCTACATAGTGAGTTCAAGGTGAGCCTGCACTACATAGCAAGACCCTGTCTCCATATGGATAAAATAAAATAAGATAAAATTCATATGGAAATGCAAAAGAATTCAGTGTAGGCAAAACAATTCTGGGAAATAAAATTGAAAGATGAAACCTCCCAATTTCAATGTACACAAAGTTAATCATTGAGCTGGGGACGGGCTGGGGATTTAGCTCAGCGGCACAGCATCTGCCTGGTAAGCGCGAGGTTGTGAGTTTGATTCCTGGTACTGGAAAAAAACAAAACAAAACAAAACAAAAGCAAAAAATCTTTGAGCTGGGTATGGTGACACACACTTGTAACCCCACCACTCTGAGAGGCTGAGTCAGGAAGATTGCAAGTTTGAGCCCAAGCTGGACAATTTATCAGCTTAGCAAGACCCTGTCTCAAATTTAAAAAATAAAAATAAAAGAGGGCTGGGTTCAATCCCCAGTGCCATATACTCAAAGTAACCAAGACAGTGTACATAAGGATAACATGTAGATCAATGATGGAATTGGATGTCCAAAAATAAAGCAATAAGAAATAAGAAAATTAAAAATTATGTATATGACTAATAGATTTTCAACAAAGGTGCCAACATATTCAAGAGAATAGTCTTTTAACAATGCAGCCAGGATAACTGGGTAGCTACATGTAAAGGGACCTTTCCCCTGTACCATATACAAAAAGATATTTTTATTTTTATTTTTTTAAAAAATTTATGAAACAAGGTCTAGCTAAGTCACTAAATTGTCCAGGTGGGCTTGAATTTGTGATCCCCCTGCCTCAGCCTCCCAGAATGCTGGGTTTATAGGTGTGCGCCACCGTGCCTGGCTGGTGGACATTTTTTAAACCAGATTTTCCTGGGATAGGCCACACCACCCTTCCTCCCCCCTTTCCTGCAACGTATCAAAGCGGTCTCCATCGTCGGGTCTTTGCCCTTGCTGTTCTCTCTGCTGTCCACGTGCTCTCCCAGTCTTCTGTGAGGTTGTCTCTCTCGCATGGGCTAAACCAGTACTGCCAATAGAGTGTTCTGTGACGCTGGGAATGTTTGTTCTACATCTGCACCATCCGGTGTGAAGTCAGTCACACACGGCTATTGAGCATTTGGGTGACTGAGCCAGGGTGACTCAGACATGGATTTATTTAATTAAATTAATTAAAGTTAAATTTTAAATAGGCACAGGTGTAGAGGGGATGCTGTACTGAACACTGAAGGTCAATTAATCCCAGTCCACTCTATTCAGTCCTGTTTTGTATTCTCTAGGGCCCTTTTCTGTAGGTGAAATAATCTTGTTCATTTATCTGCTGATTTTCTGCTTCTGTCAGTCACAACTTTGGTTCTATGAGAACGGAGGCCTTAGGAATCTTGTACATAGTTTATCATGCATGCTTGGTGCCTCAAATAGTGTCAGGGGTGTGGTGGGCACTTGGTGAGTGTAACTCATAAGCAAAGCTGCCCACTGGCTGTTCTCAGTGTGTGCTACGAGCCTCCGCAGGTCTCCTTTGCAGAGGGTCTGTGAGGTCAATGCTTATGCTCTTTTTTCCTCAAAATTATTTTTTTGTTAATATTAAGACCTTATTTTGCCTTTTAGATGATGTGAAAATGATGGTGGGTATAACTACTGGCCACTTGGATTAAGAGCATGGCGGCACATGCCTATTGTCCCAGCACTCGGGAGGCTGAGGCAGGAGGATTGCTGTGAGTTCAGGGCCAGCCTGGCTACAAGGGAAAACCCTGCCTTAAAAAAAAAAAAAAAAAAAAAAAAGCAAGGCAGCACCACTAGGAGTCATTGTTTTCTTTCCTGCTGTGCACTCATAATAGAACAATTAAAGCAGCTTTATTATGAATGACTTGATAAAACAGTGAAAAAGTATTCAATCTCTATTTATTTTCCTTTTTTAATTTTAAAGAGAAGAGTAAAAAAAAAAAAGAACCATAGCAAACTGCCAACATCACAGACATAAACAAAACAAAGGGAGAACATTAGAAAATGATACAGGATTTCAAAACAAGATGATAGGAATTAACAGTGGTTGTTATATTACATACTGTTATCTTCAATGAAGTTGCTCAGATTACCAGATGTAAGAATGGAAGATTGATCAAACTATTAAGGAGAATAAAAAATAATAATTAAAAAAATTAGAGATGATACAGAGTTTCACTAGACAAGATGGTAAGAATTCACGAATGGTTGTTATATTGCATATTGTTGTCTTCAAATTAGTTGTTCAGATTACCAGACATAAGCATGCATAACTGATCAAAATATAAAAAAGCTTAAGCATTAACTGTTCCTTTCAATAAATCACTAGACATCAGCAGTACAGTTATCCCAGCTATCCTTCTATATGCATATATATACATATTTTTTTTTCTTCCTTCTTTTTCTATTTTCTTTCTTTTTGAGATGGGATCTTACTATGTTGGCCATGTCGGCCTCAAACTCTTGGCTTCAGCAGTTCTTCTGCCTGAGGCTCCTGAGTAACTTGTACCACTGTATCCAGCCGTCTCTTTTAAGTATTTTGAATAGAAAGAGTCCCATAAACCTAGATGTCAGAAGGCCCTCAGGGGCTGTTTGAGTTGCACACTGCACTACCCACTTTTTTCATGCAATACTAGTTCTTGTTGAAAGAAGGATGGAAAGTCAAACTATGGTTGTACAAATGTGGAAATTTTGCAGACATTTTCTCTAAGATAAACCAAGCAGGTCTATTGTTTCAAGGGAAAAAACTGCCAACATTAGCTGCCAGTGATAAAATTTGAGCTACTGAATTAAAATTAGGAGTTTGGAAAAGTTGTATCCACCACAATGACTTCTGTGGTGTCCCAGCATTCAAAAACTTCTTGATAGGATCAGTGGTGGCATCAGCTATGTTGTTTTCTATTATATTCTGCGATATCAGCGTCTGGAGTATTTGCATAACTCAGTGAACCTGTGTTTGCCGAGTGACCAATGCATGACGTCACAAAATCATGTGTGGATAAAAGATACGGATAAAAATTAAGCAGATTTATTTATTTTCAGCTAAATGATCCCACCGGGAGGCAAAGAGGAGGGAAGAAAAAGGAAGGAGGAAGATTACCAGAAAAGAGATCTTTAAAAATTACTTACTGGGGGCTGGGGATTTAGCTCAGTGGCACAGTGCCTGCCTGGCAAGCGCAAGGTCGTAAGTTTGATTCCTGGTACTGGAAAAGCCCCCGCCCACCCCCCAAAATCACTTACTGTCCCTATAAAAATCTCAAAAATGTTATCCTGGAAGATGTTCTTAGTTTTTGTCCCCACATAAGTGAAGTTCCAAGTTCACTTTCAGGACAGTCTTTTTATCTACTGAGTTCTACATGGGCTCTGTTTCTCCCATGCATTTTATAGAAGGTTTTTCTTGGGTT